AAAAAAAGTCATGAATAGATATACTTCTTATTACAAAATCTATTAAGGTTATTTCATGCATTTTGTTGGTATAGCAATCAATAAAACAAATATCAAACAAACAGTGTGTCTTTATTTGTATTCTCAGAATATTAAAGCATTTTGAACACTTCACAGAAATGTTTAAAAAATGATGCAAAGATATGCTTAATACTACCAAATCTATTAAAGGTCATTTCGGACGATGCCATTTTGTCTACTTCGACTCACACGGCCAAACTGTCAGGTGGCCTGTCCGACCTTCAGCCCACCAAATATACCTCGACGCCCTTGTCGACCCTTTTTTCGCTACAGAAAACCTGGTAGCCTATGTGCTGCTTTGTACAGAATGTCACTGAAATTTTTAGGGCGATAATCGCTGGCGGCCGCCAGCCTTTCGCACAATTGTAAAAAGGTGATATCTCCATGCCCAATATCAATGGCATACCAATCCAAAACGACGGCACCCGTTCTCTTCATGACTTTAATTGTCGTGTAATTTGAAAGTAATCCTAGAGATGAATTTGATGGCAAAGTGGCCACATTTCCACGTGGCGATAATACGCATGCGCAAAAGGCTCATTTCCTGGCAAATTCAATAACGACGTTTGCGCCAACCGACTTCGTTGGGGGCTGGGGATTTTTTTTTTTTTTCGGAGAACGGGCGAAAATCGGTGCGCGCGCAGGATGTCATCCATAAAAATAAAAAAGTGTGGCCTAAAGTTGTTATATGTGGTACACACATTTTTTTTCAATTCATCTTTTCCCACAAATTATATTCTTAATTGCTTATAAACTAAGAGTATTATTTTTCACTTATTCTTCTACATGTTTTTTTCTTATCATTCATTTATATATCTATCCATCTCTTTTTTTTTTTTTAATTCAAGGACCACACCTCCAACATAAGTTAACAAGATGAACAAATGGTGCTGCCATAACTGCAATACCCACACCCCACTCACCTCTTTCCAGTTGGCCCCAGCATCTGTCGTGAGATATATATTGGGTAAGTGATCTCGCAGTGACGATGTCACATTGGTGACCCCAGTAGCCATAATGAGGCCTGGTGCTGACGCCTTGCTCAAGATCTCAGCTGTGCGGGACCGTGGGTACAACTGCTGAAGTCGCTGGGTGAGGTGGAGAGAGCAGTCCATGAACTGAAATGACAGGCAGCCATTAAAACTAATACACACCAATATATAAAAGATGACTGTTTGATCTGATCCTCTACTAAAATTACATACTATCAACAGCATATTATATCAAACAGTCATATTTCTTTCCTAAATAATAACAATAAACGCACTATTTAACATTTTTTCAAATAAATAATAAATATATATGAAAATATATAATACACATAATACTCCGAACTGAATGGGATGTTACAAAATTTGAAAAAAAAAAGTATACACACTGAGCCACAGACGTATGTACTGTAACATCCACATGATAGAGTACATACCCTATAACAATGAGTGTGGTTTCCTTCACTGTCCTGATACGGAGCATTTATCCTCTCCCACATACCTCCCTGATGAGAAATATGGTTTAGAAATTAGTTTAAAGAAATAGCATTGATTATAGCTGTAATTATAGGTCAATTTATCTGTTAATTATAGATGTGCATTTTCTGGCCTCTGTCTGATAAGATTCACTTCAGCCAAACTCCTGGACAATTCAACTGAATTCAAAATGTTGAATCAGAACAAGGATAAATTTGGAGAAACATAGTAATATTTTTACATACAGCATTAAGTCACAATGGATCAAGCTTGGCATTTTGGATAAATTATACATGATTCTGAAGTGAAACAAGCTTCTGTCTTTTTAATGTAAGAAAGAATTGTTTACAAGTACATATATAATATATAAAAAAATCTGCCATAGTTACCTTGTCATAAGTGATCAGGGTAACCTGTCTGTCAGGATCCAGGGTGCCATTGGCCAGCTGAGAGGCGATGTATATCCCACGCAGCCCGTCAACACGGTGAATGTCAGCAAAGGATTCGTCAGCAAAATACCTGTTCATAAATGGAGAGAAAATACATATGCATATGCGCAATTCACAGTGTGAATGCACGTGATTGGGTATGAGTGCATGTGTGCAGGTGCGCACATCTTCAAGTATTTTAACTAAATCCCCGAAAAGTATTCAGCCATTGTGTATATATTATTAAATACACTTAAAACAGAAATTGTTTTACCATTTCTGGTTAAAGAAAAATCAAAGTGGTAAACAAAAAGTGATCCCCCTTGCCCTACCTTAACCAAGTGTCCTTCAGAGCTCCCTTGGGGTTGAAGTAGACCACCCTCTCCAGGGACAGGGAGAAGTTGGTGCCACTGGCATCTGAGATGTACAGGTGTGTGAGGGTGGCGTTGTGGTTCACACAGGCAAATACCTGGTCTTCTGAGGCATCAGCTATGTAGTAGTCCTGTATAAGATAACATAGGGTACATGTGGATTAGGGTCAGGAAAATAAGACCAGTAGAAATGGGTATGGGGAAGTTTTTGATTTACACATTGTGTACTCTATAATTATTATTCTTATTAATATTATTATTATTATTGCTATGCGTTTTGAAAACATTGTTCTAATCTAAATCATTTGATTACACTACACTGGAGTGTTACTTCAAAAACTCTGATGAAATATTAATATCTAAAGGAAATTAAAGACCATATTGTAATAAATTCAACTGTAAATTATAATAAGACTTGTTTTTAAGAAGTCTTCCAAATATATGCACCTTATAAAATTATTCACAAAAGCATAGACATCACAAATATATCAAAGTTACATGTGATTGTTTATGGCTAAAGTATGAAAATATATTTCTTGTGAATAAATGAGATGTTAAACATACACAAAAATGTTCACACTAATTACTATGTAAATAAACTAAAACAGCAAATCTCAACACATTTCTTAGCTTCAGTAACAAAAAAGATGGCTCAAGTTCCTTTATCGTATTCCTCCACATTTTTTCCTTAATTCAGTTAAATTGGAGAATGTTCAACCACCAAATGCAGTGTTTCATATCATTTGTACCCAGCAAATTTAAGTTTGGGAAGGGTATTGTTTCAGCATGAGGAATCGTTAGGAATGTCTACCACCGATTCTTAGACCCCGTTCCCATACCTAGATGGATTTAGCAGGATCAACCCATCTCCGAGGGGTTTCTCACTTATCTGCATTCAAATCAAATGACTTAGATGTCTGACATGCCTAATGAAGCTGCTCAACGATAATTAATTACCCCCTAACAGCTTCAGTAAGCGTGCCAGACATAAGATCCGCTTAAGCTGAATGCAATTTAGAAAGAAACCCCTGTGCCAATCCTAATAGATCGATCTAGGTATGGGAACAGGGTTTTATTCACAGAAACTTCCTTTCTCTTGGATGTGTAGGCTATATTTTATTCTTACCAATCCATGTAAGCTGGTTGGAAACCGTGCACGGGAGAAAGGGCCTCCATTGTGGGAAACCCAGAGTATCTGGGATTGGTTATGATGGGAGTCTGCTGTGAGGGACTATAATGTAATAATATAATACCACATTCACAAGCCTATATCCTATATAGTCAACACAAACAATGACACAAATCAGAAGTACACGTGTGAGTGCTATCCTATCTGGTGCTTTCATACGGTGGCTTCTGCATATTCCTACTGTAACACTGAAATG